GCGGAAACATTTTTGCGAGCGCAGACAATGAAAAATGTTTTTATTTACTTTTGATTATCTGCTTAAGGACGACAACAAAAACAGTTGCAGTGGAGCAAACACTGTTAAGGATACGCCAAGCGGAGCAGCACGAGGCAAGACCAAGGGGCACAGTGTAAGCAAGACATGGAAAGAGAAAGAGAAGCTACCACGAGAGGGCGATGGCGGTTAAAACAGCAAACAAATAAAGCGGCAAAAGAGAAAAACCAACATAACATCACCGGAAACAGCAACAACAAGAACAACAATATGGCTAGCATTTAGCTTATGGCCAGGTTCAAATATGTGCCAGCATGTGTGTGTGTGTGTGTGTGCGAGGGTTGCACACAAAGTTTGGCCTGTGGAACTGAATATTTTTGTAATGTATGTGTAATTTTGAAAAGTTTTGTAAAATGTTGCTTAATTCAATTTTATAAATTTTATATGGCATTCAGTGTTGCATAGCTCAAGGTGAGAACGAAAAGTTTATAGCAGGCAGAAACAGTCAAAGACTTTGCCAAATTTATAAGTTTCTTAGCAGCCTTCGAGATGGCAATTTTGGATACCCTTGCTGCGGGCTGTTTAAGTGCGCATGTGTGTGTGCGTGTGTCTGTGTGTGTATAGGTGTAGGTGTCAACATGGCCTGTCGCGGCTTATGAATAAGCAAAGCGGTGAGACGCACACACAAGCAAGTGCGCCAGCAGCAGCAGTCATACACACCAGCACACACCATACACACCAGCACACACAATACACACCTGAGTGTAAATACAAACAAGCAATGCAATCGCGTGACCCTGCAAATGCATACGATCCCATATCCCCAGCCATATCGCGATTGTATGTGCGCACATAATTTATGGCAAGTGGATGCAGCTTTGACCAAGAGGTGACATTGCCAACAAGAACGACAACAACAACAACAACCACAACAACAACAATAGCTGAATTATTGTTGAACTTTTTTAAAGCCGCCTATGCAACAAGTACGTTATTTAACTTGTTATGTTTCTTGTCACTCTTAAAAGCTGGCTGGCTTGATAAAAAGCGGTCTGCCATTTTTTGAATCACGCAAAAACAAAATAAAAAATTTGTATTTTTACTATTTTTTAGCTCAATTGAGTTGGTTCGAGCTTAGAATTCCATTATATGGTTTACTGTGAACTAAACCTTAAAAAAAATTAATTACCAAATAAAATAGCTGAACTGAAACCCGAATGGAACCATATTTTCTTGGTTTTCTTCAAAATAAAAAACTTCTTAAAAATCATGTCGAATAGATGCCAATTTTGCGTTGAGATCAAATATAGCCCGCAACTTCTATATGCAAATATTTAAGACTTGCAATATTTCTAGTATATTGGGCAGTTATAAATAAAAAATTGAATTTTTACAATAAAATATGAAAGAATGTAAAAAGTAAACTACGCAACTTTAAGGAATCGAACCGTGAACATTTTTTATTTTGGGCTTGCATAATGCCCTGGATAATGCTTTAAGCTATATTTATACGGTCTGAGTACTCAGATGAGGTTTTCTCTGAGCGATTCAGTTCTGAGTGTCAAAAACTCTGCTGAGCAGCTCAGTTCTGTTTCTACACACGACTGATAAAAACATAAAAAAAGTTTCAAAACAATTCCAGGGAGGGGTATAGGAAATCGAATACAATTGACACGAATTGGAATAAATGGCAACGCCAGCACATTGAAATCTGGCAGCCCTATTAAATGACAAATGACAGCTCAGCTGAGCGCTAAGACCAAATAGAAAAGATTCCATTCTGTCTGAGCTTCTCATCTGAGCCACTCAGACTTGTGTTTACTTGGGCCCAACTCAGACGAAAACTCAGCTGAGAACTCAGACTGTGTAAATAAAGTTAAAGCCTTGCCTCGGGGCATGGACTAGTCCGCATGAGAAGCCAAAGGAAACGTTGACTAGATTCGATTATCCGGATTAAAAACAAACGAATCCTTTTAGTAAATGAATGCAAATTATTCGATAATTTTGGGACTAATAAAAAATTAATATATTTTATTATTTTATTTTAAAGAACAAGTAAATATATTCATATAAAATGGATTATTTAGCTTTGCTGCATTTGATCAGTGTAACAGTTGTTGTGGCTGTTGTTTTTGTTATCATGCCACAAGTGACAGGCACTCAAATGTTGCAGTGACAGCTGCAAGTGTAATTATTGTATTATTATCAATTTTGCATAACATGGAAGTGTTCAGCTGTGTCTGCCATTTGCTCTCTCTCTCTCTCTCTGTGTGTGAGTGTGTGTGTGTGTGTGTGTGTGAATATATGTGTATGAAGTGTTTTCAAATTTAATTGCTTTTAAACAAGCTGAGCCCAATGTGTGTGTGAGTGTATTCAAAAAGCATGGAGTGGCGGGGGAAACGGATAGGCGGGCCAGTTAAACTACTAAGCATATTGACATGCTAAAAATTTATAGCATACAAATGGGCGCAAGGTGCGGTTGAGTCGGCAACAGGGCGTATGAGTAATACCAATGGCAACTATTTGAATATCTGTGCGTGTGCGTGTGTGTGTTTGTGTATGTGTGTGTGTAGTTTAGTGTTCGTTAGTGTATGGCATTTTGTGATTTCGACAAAATTACATTTCACAGTTACAAGTGTTATAAATAAATAAATTGCCTGCGTTCTGCCCAACATACACATTTATGCTACGTGAGCGCATATGTCTGTGTGTTTGAGCGACTTTCGTTAAACTGTAAAGCACTAAGCACACATTGCTGTATCCAAACACAAACACATTAGGATCACAGCTAACCATATTTAAATTGCAATTTGACATAAAACAATTGGCCGCCATTTAAAATGCAAACATATGATGGGCAGCATGGCAAACCATATCCAATTATGAACAGTGGACAAAAAAACGTATATATAATAATAACTGTCTGTCTAATCGCGTATAACAAAACTAGATTAGTTTTTGAAACGATGGCAGCATATACTGAAACCTGCTGGACAATAAATTTAATTTCACCGTTTCATTTCGAAAGCAAGACGAGAAAAACTCTGAAAAACTGAAGGAACATCAGCTATTACTGAGATAAGTTTCTTACAAGTATATAAAAAACATCATACTATAAGTCTATCTAATATCAAAAGTTAAAATGATTCGCAGCTGAGCAGTAGAGACGCAAAACCGAATTAAGTCATTCTTAAAAATTAAGAAATTAGGGCTCTACGAATTTTAATAAAAAAATGCAATGCAAAGCACAATAAGCCGAGACGCATTAATATGAAAGTTTTTAGTTACAAAATATAATATATAGTAAAATAGCTGAATTTAAACCCGAGGGAATCGTAATTCGTTGGTTTGTTGAATATAAAAAACTTTTGTGGAAGATTGGAACCCAACCATTTGATCAATGCAGCTATGAAGAATAATTGAATGCCAATTTTGGGCAGAGATCAAATTTAATGTATATGAAAATTATAAACTTAAAATTGAGTTTATAATTTATTATATCTTATTCCATTAAAGTAATTTATTTTATTTGTTATGCTTCAGATCGATATACATATATATATATATAACCTAAATCATTTAACAAAAAATTGCACATTGCGAGACTTTCTAACTTATATGCTACCCAATAAACAATTGCAGTCAGAACAGATCGGCTCGTTCACATTCGTGTGAACGGCGATTCAGTTGAAGGCGAAGACACAAAACTTAAAACGAATATACATATTTCTTTCGAATAAGATATTAATATTTACCTGTAAGTAAAAGCTGTACTGTGTTAGGACTTTTAGGAAAACACTAAAGTTTAGGGAACAGGAAATGTGATTATTGGATCAATTGTAAGGACTTAAGCCTCTTTGCCTTTCAGAGAGTATTCTAACTTTGTTACAAAAGATGTAACGGGCTTCTAAAATGTATGACATCTATAGAAAAAATCGACGGGGCCTTTTTAGGCCTTGTTAAATAAAATAATTCTGAGCTATTAAGAGTGTTTTATTTTCGGCTTTTAGAAGAAGGCTTGTTTTCCCTAATTATTAATTTTATGTGTTAAAAATACATAATTAATATATATGAATAATAATTTAAACAAGAACTAAAAGCAATCTTTTGCAAGCCAAACATTAAATACTCTTGCTTACAGTTTTCAGTATATGTGAGGAGAGTTTTCTGAGTTCACTCAAGATATCTTGAAAAACTGAAATTCTTTCGCTGCAAGAACTTTATTTTCGACTGATTGGACTGGGGATAGAATTGTATAGTATAGTAGTTCAATGTTAATACAATTATCAAGAAGGATATGATATTTTAAAAACATACAAAGACAACGAATTATTTTTAATTTTTATTGCAGCTATACGAAATACTGGTTCGATCTGCACGCATCTGACAAATTTCCTGCCTGCAACAAAACAGACGAAACTATGCAAAGTAAGTATGAGCGATTGGTTGGGCTTGCATAGAAACAGACAAACAGACTCGGCTGATTAAACTGATCAAGAATATTCATTATGGGGTCGGAAAAGTCTCCATCTATGCGTTACACATTCCATGACAAAATCACATTACCCTCTACATGGCTACAAAGAGGCATTTCATTTATCAAATGAGAATGAGTGCCGATTTATAAAATTAGTGAGTACCGTGAGTTACGTGAAAATGTGATGGCCAAATACGACAATCTTTTTGTTTTCAGCAAAATCTTCATTTTGCTAATTTTTCAGTTAAGTGGCCAATATACCAGGGAGACGAACAGCAGTATGATGAAGTTAATTAAATGATTTATAACTTATTCAGTTTGTATACGGGCATGCAAATAAGTTTTTTATATTTATTTTTATTTCTATTATTAACTGTAGGTGCATATTGCGACGCTGATGCACAGTAGTTGGGAGTATTCCCTTTTGGGGCACTCGTTGAACAAACTATAAATTGGTTTTGTGGCATCGACTTAAAAAGTTGCAAGTTATTTGCGATCTGCTTACCATTCACATAGGCTGAAAAATCCAAGGGCTGCTGCTGCTGCTGCTGCTGCATTGAGGCAGCTGCAGCGTCCTCATCGGTGTCGGCCTCCTCGCTCCTGGCGTCACGTTTCATCCGCGTGAGGAATGGCGCCTCTGACTGGATATGGCGACGACCGCTGGCAGCGGAAATCGCATCATTTCCGGCCGCCTTGTCGGGTTGACTGGCCGCGAATAAAAGCAGCAGGAGCAGCAGCGGATGGGGTAGGAGCGTCCGCCGTTTGGGCAACGTCTGAGCGGGCATGGTGTTACCGCTGCCACCTCGGTGAGCGTCTTCTGGCTGCCGGCTCCGACAGCCGAGACTCTTAAGTAATTGCAGGATAAGCGCAAAGAGAGGCGCGGCAGACGGAAACGGAAATAACGCGGCAGCAGCCAACAGCGACAACGACTACGATTGTGAATATTATTATTGTTGTTGATGTTGCTACTGCGTACGCACACAGACAGCACTCACTGTACTTGACTTTGGACTACCCGAGCGGCCATCAAGCGGCAACTGCGACCACAACAAAAGAACGCAAACAAAAACAAGAAAAATAATGCGGGAGTGTATAGAAGCGTATGGATATGCTTTGGATATGTATCGGACACGACTTGACTTCGACTTGGGCTTAGCGACTGCGGATCGACACAATCGACGCGATTCGCACGCCGGCGTTGACGGCCAAGAGGCAGGACACACTTTCAGCGGGACTCTAGACGCGACGTGTTGTTGCGCGGCCAACGTGCGAGGCGCTATTGAGCCAACCAAGTGCGATGCCAGTTAACATATAGCCTTTGGATTCGCACTCGGTGTATTTCGTGACTTCATTCGTCCCGCAGCCGAACGGTTTGTGTGTTTTTTAGTGAATGAAGCGTCTCCTCGCCAGTTGGTTGTACGGCGCCTGCGCCGGCACCAATACAAGCCATTCAACGGCAGACAATTCGATATGGATATCGGTGCGCTATGTGAACTCGAGTGGTCCTGGACGAAGGAGGACTAAGGACGAGCGCGCCTCAGTTCATTTGCCGTGCTACGTGCCGACTTCGTCAGCCATTTGGCCATTTGGCCATTTCGCCATTTGACTGACGTCCTTTTGCACATCCTGGCCGCAACAGTTACCAGTTTCACAGTAACCAGTTACTGCCTCAGCAGTTGGCAGTCGTCCGTTTAACGTTAGCACTCACTGCCAATTGGCGGCCACTCGGAGTTATTGCACTCTTCACCATTTTCCGTTCGTCGTCCTCGCGTCGACAGCAATTAAAATATTTGCAATTGGTTTGGCTGCTAATTTGATTAGCCATTCGCTTGCTTTTCAAGATACATTTGTATCTGCATCCGCTTACGCTCTAATTCGACGTCTGCTTCTGCCGCTGGCTTCTCCCCGCTGTTCACGCATCGCTGGGCATAATCAACAAATCAACACGCCGCAAATATCCGTAAATATGTTGTGCAAACATTTGCCGCCAAAAATTGTCAATTTTCGGAGAAAAATGACTCCCACGCACGCCGCCGAATGTCAATATGCCAGCAGTATATATGTATGTGAGCTTATTTACTGCAGCATATTAAATGTTTCCGTATCTTATGTGGTCGCAGTGCTGAGCAGTTGAATATTAACAACAAGCGTACTCAGGTCAAATGGATATAGATGCAAAAGTTACTCAATCTATTGGTCCAAAGCTAACTAAAGCCAGTCTTCGAAATGGCGAAGATTAATGCTGAAAGCGCTTCCGGAAACTTAAGGTATGCAAATATGTATGCAACTATTTTTTTTTAATTTTATATATATTTATATATTTTTCCAGCCCGTGAGCAAATTAAAATTTGGCTTAATTTCTAGCCAAATGGATTTTCTCTAATCGGCAACATTTCAAATAGATCTTTTAACATTAAGTTGAAGTTGTTCGAATGAAATTAAGAAGATAAAACTTTCCTCTATATTCAAGGATTTTCGAACTTATTCATTAATTTTTAAATAGAGCTTTGAAAGTTAAGTTTGTTACATTATTTTATAGACAAGACAAGCCCAAAATTATTTATGGAAGGACGAGTGGAAAAAAATCAAAAAAAAAAAATTAAAAATCATATATTCTGGAATCTACTATAGAAAAATTTAATGTTTTGATGACTCTGCCTCAGTTTAATTTTATAATGATTCAATACTGATTGTGATAAATATTGGATTCATTTTGAAATTGTTTTTTTTAACCTGGCAACATACTGCAAACAGTTGCCCCATGCTCAAAGATTCTCATTGAAATAATTGAGAAATATTTTACGAAATGATTCTGAAATAAAATGAATGCAATACGAAGCAGTTACATATATTTAGGAAATGTTAAGATAAGTAAATTTTAAGTGGGTGCATCCATTTATTTGAGAGTATGAATGGTCGCATATCCATTCATCGCGATGAATTGGGTAACCCCGATGCATTAGTAGAGTATTAGACAATATTTACATACCACATGGATACCACATTATCTGCACAATATTTAAATAATAATATATTAAATAAACTATCTATAAGATTCGCTTCGAAAGGTTTTAATAAAGTCATCTATCTCTCTATATGCCGGCAAATCTAGCCCTAAGAAAATAAATATTTTTCGGGACTTGCAAAAAAATTAAGTTTTCAAAGAGTATCTATATAAGACGAGAATCTGCATACAATCTGCGTTACAATCTTTTAAAATGCCTGTTTCGAAATCCATATTTGTTGGTATTATATACATATATCAATGAATATAAAGATACAACAATTTGAACTCCAACAGAAAGCACCTACCTTTTCAAAAGCTTCTTTATAACACTTGTAAGGTTGAAAAAATTACTTTTTAGAAGAAAAATATATTTTTAAGAAGATATCTTATATCGTAAAATGTTTAAGGAACTTTGCGGACAACAGAAAAGAAAAGAAAAGAAATCCTTCTGCCTGTTACGTGCATATTCACAAAGCTATGATACCGGATTTTTTAACACTAATGGGCACAGGATATCATTGTCCATGTATATCTCGTATGTGAGATTTGATGGAAGGCAGGAATTTTAAAATTGGCTCTCATCAAACATGCACATGTCAATTATAACTGATTCTGCAATACATATTTAATTGACGCAGGCAATTCTTAACTTTGTGGCACGCACATACTGCAAGATGCCAGTGGATGCATGTGTTAATTTTTTGGCATGGCCGAATGTTCAGCTTAGTTATGCGACGCGGCAACCTATTTGTATGCGCATCTGTGTGGCAGCTTGTTAGCGACAACAACAACAACAACAGCAGCAGCAACAACAACAATATTGGTTGTTGAGCCTCTCGCTTGAAGTACTATTGATATTTATGTGCGCCCAGCAAGTTAATCTAATTAAAGTTGCCAACTTATTTGCCGCACGTTGAAACGCAGCCGTGAGCTTTTGTTGCAGTCGATTGTTTTTGTTTCTGCTCTTGTTTTTATTGTTCATTGTTGATATTGTTGTTGTTGTTGTTGTCGCTTGTCGTGTTGATGGCAGCTCGTTTTCATTGTTATCGCATTATATATTATTATTATGATGATGAAGTCCCCGTTGCGGCCCGCTTTCAGATACAGTTCTCTTATATGAAGCGTTGCGTATTCTTGCTGTGATTGCCTTCATCGGCAGCTCATGCCATAATCATGATACCACTGCCCGACTGTTAGTTCAACCATAATGCGCTTAAAGCTGTAATTATGCCTATGGCGCTCGGTAAGCTAATTGACCGTATTTTTTTTCGTTTATTTTTTTTTTTTTTTGGCAATTGCATTGCCAGCTGGAAGCGAGTGTTGGAGGCGGATATGAATTGTTGCCCCATAACTGGTTGTCCCTGATTGAGTAGCTGTAAATGGAGCCCAGCTAATTGGACGTGCAAGCGAATCCCTTTTCAATGCAAAAAGGATCGTCTGTAGGGGGGCCGAGCGGGTTTGTTTGCAATCGGGCATTAAGTGCATTTGCCAACGCAAAAACTTTGCAACATCGTCCAACTCGACAGTGTACAATGGAAGTGGCACTCACATAATTGACTCGGTCCCGTAGCGCTGATTAGGCAATTTGTTTAGGCAAGCTTTGCATTGTTTGACATGGCAGCAGAGAAGGATGAGAAAAACGCGTTGAGCACTTCACTTCCTGCCAAATTCAATTTACTACCAGACGATTTTACAGAGAGCGGCAACAAATTTCGACCCCTATTAGTTTCAATAAGCGAATCGCACATCCCAGCTCTGGACCGAGGCGTTTTTGTGGACCACTCTTTGTAATCATCGGATTGTAGTGCACTTTTATGGGCGTGAATGACAGCAATGGTAAGCAGCTTGGGTAAGTCGTCTCACACAATGCCCAGCCACTGTAGACAAAGTGACAGCAATAACAACAGGAGAAGGGTATACTTTTTTTTTTAATATTGTTGTACAACTATGTGTACGAATATATATAAATATATATATATTATAATCTGTATTCACCCAAAAGTTCACATGCATATGCACCAAAATTTTATTGCCATCCTTTACATTACACATCCCTGAAAGAGGAAAATATTTAGAAATTAGATTTGTGTCAAAGCAAGAGAAAAAAGAGACATTGGGTGCATGAAAATATATTTATATGACTGCAAAGCATGAAAAGCTGGAAGACTTACTTGAATTCATGAGATTCGCGTAGTGGGACAGTAATTAAAAATGATATTTTTAATTTACAGTGCAGTCAAAACTAAACTAATTTGCTTTTTGTTAATAGAATGTATATATATATATATATATATGTACAAACGCACAAACACAAATCCACATATACTCCACGTACATACAAGCATGCATACCCATATAAACACATATATACATAGATACATACATATACATATATATACATACATTTTTACACACACACGCACACACAACAGCACATCCAAAAACAAATACACATTACCCTTATTAAATTAACACCAAAACTTTTCAAAAGAACACGTACTAAAAAAACATGAAAGCCTGTGAGCTTTTCTTGAATTTATGAGAATCGAGTAGTAGGGCATCCTTAAAAATGCGTTATTTTTAATTTTCACTGCAGCGTAAAATATACTTGATCTGCGTTTGGTACAATAAAACATGCATGCATACATACATATGTACACACACACATGCATACATAGGCACATACGCACGTGCATACGTACACACATTTTTTATATTTATACATACATATATACATAAGTAGATATATACATACATACAAGCAGGCATACCTACACTCATACATACATGCACACATATATATGTATATATATATATATATATATATATATATATATTTAGTTGAGACACAACTTTTAAATAGAGCAATTATTAGTAATGCATGAAAACCTGTGAGCCTTATTTGAATTCATGAAAAAAAAATGAAAAAATTCATGAATAATGCGTTTTTTTTAATGTGCAGTGGAAAGTAAACTTTATCTGTGTGTAGCTTTATAGAAAATATATGCTTACATACATTACATATGTACTCACACATACATACATTAGCATATACGCACACTCGTTTAAAAACATACACATTTTTTATATTTCAAATATTTCTTATGAAATCATTCAGCCCGTGAGCCTTACTTTAGTTCTTGAGAATCGCATAGAAGGCTAAAGTTTTAAAGTACATTATTCTTAATTAGCAACGTTTGGTATAAGAGAACTCACATATTTTCACAATATTTAAAAGTGTCCTTAAGTTTTCTAACTGGAAATTGCTGGCAGTTTTTTATTAGTCATATTATATTAAAAAAAGAACTAGCAAGACAGTTGTTGGTAGTTACATGACATGTTTTAAGAAATGCAATTCATGTCAGTTTGTTTATTAATCCAAGAATTAAAAGAATATGAAATATTATTTCGCTACAGGTAAGAAAAATCTTTTACAAACGTTAGGATATTGTAAACTTATTTTCGTTTTGTGTTGCTCGAAACAAACTATCAAGAATCGAAATTTACAGTAGGTAAGTTTGTAAAGCTAGAACACGGCGCATTGGCAGCGGCTCAGTGGCAGCAATCCTTGGGATAGTGGGCGCCCAGAAACGTCTTGCATATGGTGCAGTAGTGGCTCGTGGTGCGGCAGCTATTCATCAGATACGGATAGAGACAGGCGCAGCAGCACCACCTGGCATACCATTCAGCAAATTGTTAAGCTATGACAAAAACATACACACACACGCACACCAACAACCACAGCCGAGGGTCTCGTCTCACTCACCCAATGGAACAGAGCCAGAGCGCCCAGCAATGGGTGCGTGTGTTCGGCATGCGCCTTAGCCTAGTGCGTCCCTGTTGGCCACAGGCGGGGCACACCATCGCACAGGCCTTGGCACCCAGTTTCGGCTGCGGCGCCAGTGCAAAGAAGCCTGCCAAACGCCAGCAGATCAGATGAGATCCCGCGACTTAAATCGAGCTCGGGCCATGCTACTTACTGCGCACCTGCGGCATGCGAACGCGTTCCACTAGCACTGATTGCTGCTGCTGCTGCTGTTGCTGCTGCTGTTGCTGCTGCTGTTGCTGCTGCTGTTGCTGCTGCTGTTGCTGCTGCTGCTGTGGCATGGCCTGCACATTTGCATTGTCCGCGGGCGCCGCTTGTGGCTCCGTGGCGGGGCGCTCAGCTGACAGCGGCTGTGCAGGCTGCGCCTCTGGCAGATGCGGCTCATCCAGCTGGCTGCGCAGATGCAGCGGCTCGGCAAAGAAGGTCCTACGACGACCTTCCCCGTCGCATGTCGGCCGCAGCGTGGAGCTCATGTGGCTGGGCGTGTGGTTTTTAGTTTTTGAGACGCGCAAACTAGACGTATTGCCCATGGCGTCATCGTATGTCGGAGGCTGTTGCGGCTCAGTTCCAGCATCGACGCTTGCATCTCTATCGCTGCTGCTGTTGCTGACGTGGGCTATTATTGGGAGGGGACGCAACACCGGCTGGCTGGGGTCTTGGCCCTGGTAGAGCATGCGGTGCTTTTCCTCGGCCATGCTCGGCATACGGCTACTGCCGGCCGTTTAGCTGAGCATAGATGCATCGCCCTGCTTTTATCCAACAATAGCAATTGACGAGCGACAGCAAAACAGTTGCCGATAAACTGAGATTCAGTTGTTATTGTTTCAATTGCAGCGCAGCCAGCTAATTGGGCCTGAGCGGGTTTTGGCTGCCATCACGTCACGTACGCATCACGTTCACGTACACGTCCACGCTCACGTTCCCGTCCACGTTTTCGTTCACGTTCACGTCCACGATATGTATGCGCCCCATCAGCCGGACCAGTGAATATTGTCAGCATACGTTTAATTTCCGGCTCATAACTTTTGCAATATGTTGTTCAGCGCTGAGCACTTTGAATTCGTATTTGCTTGACCCTCGACATACGTCTGACTTTGCTCTCGACTCGACTCGGCAACGGCCACAGCCACAGCCACAGCCACAGCCAGAGCCACTTGACTAGGGTTGGAGGCGAGCCTAAAAATAAAAACCGAGTAGGAATACAATATTTACATAAGGCTGCGTAACGATTGAGAGCTGGGGTTCCCAATTCTAATGAAAAAGATTATGTTCTCTGAAGTGTGAAAAATAGGAATGTCTCACGTGTTTAAATTTAACATTTAATTATTACTTACATTGCCAAAATATTCATAAATATGTGATCAATGGACAGCAAGGTGCTTGAGTTTTTTGATCAACTAATTAGCATTCAAGGTGTTTATTTATAAAACTATGTTTTATGAATACCTTACAATTTTTTAAATATTTAAATTATATATATTATTATTTTTATCATATTTATTGTAATTCAAGCTTATTTTATTTGTAATATTAATTTTTTGCATTTGGATCTCAGTTCGCATTCAGATATAAAATATTTAATCTCAAGACTCTCGAAATAAAATTTTAAATCAATTTTCGCCAATGCTGGGTCAGAATATATAAATTTTAGGGTCGAATCGGGCCTTCTACTGCCAAGTGACTAAATGTTAGTAAGAACTATGCTTGTCTATAATTTTATTCTGGACTATGTAACAGTATGTTACAGTTGGAAGATAGTTGTCCGACTCCGTCATTCTAATCGTGTCCGTTTCTTTATCTGTTCGTCTGCCTATGGTTCTGTTTGAACACATCGATATCAGAAACTATAGAGATACGAGTTTAAATTTAAATATATATTCTTAATTAAAGCCATAAGCAAGAATTTGAGGTGTGTCTCTGAAATTATATGAGAATACGGTATATACATATATACCTATATATATACTGCAAAGTATATACAGATCAAGTATATATAATGGCAGAACGATATTTATCGATTTATATTTCATAATATTCAGAAGTAGGATACCTCCCTCTGATTTTGCTTTAAAGCTGGGATCTCTTTTCTTCTCCTTGCATTACACTAAATTAGATATTAAAAAAGTTTTTTAAAAAAAAGTTATGCATATATGTATATATATATTTATCGGTTACTTAAGAATCGTTTGCCATCCCTGAATTCGATCCTACTCTGAACTCCGTCCACGTCGAATGCAGTCCGTCCATGTGGTGTGGTTTGCTTTTTGGTTTTCGTGTTTGTGTTTTGTTGAAGTTTTTCAATCTGTTTTGTGGGACTCGGCACATGAACACTCCTAAGAGAGAAACAGAGATAGAGAGAAAGAGAGAGAGAGGGAGAGAGAGATACAGGAGAAAAAGAGCAGCTAGGAATTGGACAAGTTGACCACTGATTGAAGTTTCTAGGCAGTTTGCATTTAATCAACTTTGGAAATTTATGCCAGTCAAAACATAAATAGGGTAAGACAAAAATTATATAAATATCTAATTTGCATGGCAATTTTTATTTATTTATGTTTTTTAGCTAGACACGCTTCGTGCCGACTCCTGGCATTAAAATTATGATGCCTGATCCCATATCTATGTCCCACTTATCCTTCCATATCTTCATATTTCCATATCCCCCTGATGGCAATTGGGGCATGCCTTTTTATTTCTCACTCGGCTTTGCATAAATTTCGAGTCCATTTGAAATTCATGCCCGCTTTGATGTTTGCTTTATTGCATTCTGTTCCTGTTGCTGTTGTTGTTGCTGTTGGTTTGGGTATATGACTGTGAAAACTAAAAGCCGAGTGAAGCTTATCGATGAATGTGGCGGATCGGTGGGGAACGGAGGGCAGTACGAGCTGATTGTACAAATAACAGTTGAATATGCAAGCATTTGAGAATATACATATGCACATGTGTATGTATGTAGTCGGATATCTCAAGGCCATTTACCCAGATGCTTACGAAAGACAGCACACGAATATGGAAATATGTTTTGTGTGCATTAAACGACTGCCTACAATAAGTTCGAAAAGCTGCGCTTTGAAGTTTGAACAACTCTTTGAAATTGTGACAAGAAATCAGCTGCCAATAAAAACATGCGTATATAGGGCTTAATGGGCTGGAGAGATGAGCAATCAGTCATACGGTTTACGACTCTGATGCGTACAACACCCACAACACACACAACACACACAACAAACACAACACACAAACAACACACACTCAACACACAACACACAAAAGAGCACTGACTAAAAAAGCATGAAAACCTGTGAGCCTTACTTGAATTTATGAGAATCGAGTAGCAGGGCATCGTTAAAAATGCGTTTTTTTTTATTTTCAATGCAGCGGAAAGTAAACTTGATCTGCGTTAGGTACAAAAAGGCAAGCATGCATGCATACATATGTATGTATACATATACATATGTACATAAGCACATACATACGCACATACACTCGGGCGTACATGCAAATATACATATGTACATGCATGCATATGAAAAAAATGCATTTCTAAATACATGCATACATAAACATGTACACATGTATAAATAAAGGCATTTATATCTACATACATACAAAGATACATACTTTCATACATGCTTACATGCATAAATACACACAAAATTAGTTCGCGTTTGATAAAGAAGATCTTACATTTGCTTACTTTACTTCTATTAATACGGGCCATGTTTTTAAACCCTCATCATAAGGTAAAAATGAGTATATTAGGTGTGAGCATTACCCATCTTACAGCAGCTCCGTCTGTCCCAAGAATACATACATGCTTGTATATAGCCGCATCAGATAAAATGCTCAGAATTTATGGTTTTTTGCACAATTGTTTGTTTAGTCGGAAAATAACCAACCGTATTGAAAAAAAAGCCATTATTTAACTAATTAAGCTCTGATTATGCTGTATTATCTGCAGCCCCATATCATTTTCATGCCGTCTCCTTTTCATCCGACTTCTTTCCCATTCACACACTCCCACAACGAATGTTATTGAACGCTGTGGCTCGAGCAAGTGTGTAAACAATATTTTCTGTAATTGCAATTAGCGCAAAAGGGTTTTCGGCTGCGAAAGTCCAGGGGGGCGAGCATACGCAGGCAACCACCCACATCCGAGCACCCACCCACCCACACACACACGCCCACACGCCCACACACACACACACACTCGCTCACAGTTGAAGTATTTGCAGCCTTCGCAAGGCGTGCGTGCTGAAATTAAACGAAATCATTGTTAGGGCCGCACAGCAACACAAACACACAAACACACAAACACACACACACACACACACACACACACACACACACACACACACACACACACGGCTACACACAGTGAAATATGAGGCAATCGCCGCGGCATTTGATTGCAATTATTCATCGTAATTTGTTGTAATTCTTATAGATGATTGCCATCGATTGGCTAATTATCTTGGTTAAAATCTCTTTAAAAATCTTGTATATTCATGAGCTGCAGTCCGGTAAAAAAGTAAAATATGTTAAAATCTTTTTATTGTATTTTTAAAAGTGGTTCAAGCTATGCTTGTGTATCTTGCAGATACTTTTGTTGGCCACAAATGCTTTGTATCGTTTAGATACTTTTGTAGCTAAGGCATCTGGCATCTGTAACTGTGAGATATTTTTATGACAATTCGACAACAAGCACACAAGTTTTCTTTGTTTTAAAGTTTCTTAAATTTACAATTTTGATATAATCGCATTGTTTATTATCCTTAAATAATGATCTGTCGATTGGGTAGTAAAATGTCAGTAAGTGTCCTTCCGTAGTCAATAAGTAGGTACTCGGTATTTCTTAGTCGAGCACAACCGACTTAAGCAGCTTAGCTTGCTTGGAAATGCACCCCAGCTACCTACCTGTATGAACAAAACATTAAAACATTCAAAAATGTCATATTCTACCCAGCAAAACAATCAAATCTTACATTTAGCCTGTGATTTGAATCTGTAGCGAATTTTAGATACCGGAATCTCGCTAATCAGAAAACCGCAGCAGACAACGGCTGGCTTGTTAATTTGCTAAAAAATTGTGTGTGCGCCTTTTGGATGTGCGTGTGTGTGTGTGTGTGTGTGTAGGTGTGGCTGCTGGCTGTGTACGTGAACGGAAGTAAGCACTAAAATAAGTAAATAAAAGAAAAGCGTGCTGGGAAAAAAAGTAAAGTAAATGTTCGTTCGTTCGTGTAAAATAGTTAAAGTTATGAGTCAAAGGAGCCACCAAAGAGCAAAAAGCGACTTACACGCCAGCACACACACACACACACACACACACATATATATATATATATATATATATATATATCTCAACCACTTTAAGTACATCAGTTGAATGTGTGTGCGTGTGTGTGAGCGTGCGTGTGTGTAAGTGCGAGTAATTCACATTTCAAGCACGTTTCGCTTTTATGCTCTTAAATGGCGAGTGTATCTGTGCAATGCCTCTCTCTGTGCCCCTCGCCAGCTTACATTTACCCACTGCCCCGCCTTTACAGTCATTCCGTGCTGTGGCAAAACGATAATTTTGTTGATGATGCTATGATTATAAGTTTTAGTCCAAGCTCCTAGTCGAACAATGGGCGACCGTCACCACCGCAATCAAGGGTTCAAGTAGCGGCGTTTACATGTGTGTCAGAGTCTGCTTTGCTTTTGCTTTTGCTTCTGCTTTAGCTTCGCATGTCTGCTCCCAGCAAGAGTATCTGTATCTATTTCTAAGTAAATTACACACTCTCACACACACACACACACACACACACATACAGACACAGTTCCTAAGGACACGGGTGCAGACGGTCGGACGATGGCGAAAATTGGTGGGTCTGGGATCGCATCCTTTTCGCGTGAATGACCCACATAAATAGCCGCGTGCTGGAATCGGTCGTTTTGCTCGCTTCAACTGTGGGTCTTATGAGCACGTAGCAAACAAAGAGTTGGCCCGCAACAAACAAAAAAATAATAAAAAAAAAAACGAAGAAAATTTGTGAAAGGAAAAGAGAAACTCTATTCAAGCGAATTTCACAGCTCTAGCTTTACCCCACTGATCACGCTGCATGGGGTTGTAGCATTTTTCATTATAAACTCGAATTGATTTCGCCTCGTTTTTTTTTCATTTTTCATTCATTTACCGTTACATTTCCTTATTTTCATTGTCTGGCTTCCACTTGTTTTGTGCTGCGTCAGAGGAATACGCTGAATACATTAGGTTGTGCATTACAGCGAGCAGTTAGTCACATGCGACCGCCATACGGTTAAACATATATGGTTTCTGCTGGCATGCTCAGCATCAGATTTGTCCAAATTCTCTATTGTGCTTCAGTATTTTACTATGTTCGCTAAATTTAAATTGTCTGACTGGCAGTAAAATAGGCTTAGCTTTATAAATATTAATGAGCGCCAATCGCGGGGCTCGAGTCCCCGACTAGCGTATGGATATTTTGTTGACTTAGCCTAAGCTCAAGGTAGTCAATGCTACTTATTTGGTTAGTTAAATAGCAAAAAATAATCTAATATAACTAGATGATATATTATAAATATAAGTTATAAGAAAATTAATTTTCAAAATGTTTGATACCAACCATAAAAAAATATCATTTAAAATGGGATTTTTATAATGGAAGAAATATTTTGTACAAGCTAATCTTTTTTTTATGAAAGAACTATAATCTATATATCTATATACCAATCTTTTAAGCACTTCTGAGAACTGATTACATTTAAGGCCAGCTTTATAAAAGCCATAGATATGTTAAGTATTTATAATATCTGTTTCCTTTGTCTCAAACTTGTTTCAGCTTATTCTTCTTCGCAGATCTTAAAAGTATTTAAGTTTTCAGAGTTTCCAATGTTTTGTAAAAACGCCAAATAATTCACACTAATTTTGAGCATATATTTAAAAAAATACTAGGCTGATTTGTTGGGGGCCGGACAACGCTGCGTATGCGAAATTTGCACATTTACTTGCAAGTAATTTGTACAAAAAATTGTTTATTTATGGCGCAGATGTCGATGCTTCTTCTTGGGCTGGACACACACGTAAGTGGCAAAGCTATAAATTTTCAACATGACATGACCATGTTCTTTCTTGGGCTATTGATTTATTTTTTGGCCTAATAAAGCGACGGCTGCGACGACGTCTCCGCAATGCTGTTAAGTGCTTTTCGGGTGGCCCATCAGAGAATTGTGAGCGGACAGGGCTGGCTGGGCATGGGTACGGATGCAAGATACAAATTATGGCAAAGCAATGCGTTCGACATGCCCGAAAGGCTTATGATTTGACGTTTACGAAAAGTAAACTCGAAATTTATTGCCTTAATTTGCCTACACACAGGTATAGATTTACAGAGAACTTAACGTCGAAGTGCTCGTACTTCACTCATAATGTAAGTATTCCACAAACTTTGAGCGCAAATCAAGTTAAAAGTTCAGTTTACAAAACTTTTAAATCGATATTTGTTAATATTAAGGAAATGAAATGATAAATAAGTTCAGCTTCCTCAGCGTTTGATATACGAAAATAAATATTTCCAATATTAAGTTTTCAGCCTTGAGTTACATAGAAACGGGCACAACTGAAACGAATCGGCTCGTCGCTTTGATAAGAAATTTACACTTAGCGGAGTCAATTATGTTTTCTTTTGCCTGTTACATTAACTATTATTCCCTGTTTTTATGCATTTTCAAAGGAAAGAGATTGAAAAGAGATTAACTCTTGATTCCCGACAATTTAAAATAGGTTTTGTCCACTCTTCTTACAAGAATAACACAAACTTGTTTTAAGCTCAAACTGGGATTACTTAAAATATAAATTTTCAATTAATTAAGTCTATGTCAAGGTCAAAATGGGAACAATAAAGTATATATAATTCCGAAACGATGCTATTCGATGCCTGTTTAATATTGAATTCTTTTAGGCTTAAAAAAACATAAATCAATGATATTTTGCAATAGGTGAAATGTGTTTAACATATTTAAGCCAGGTAATCCACGTGTAAGCGTACTTTTGAGTCTAGTATTTAATGGGCATTGTTTTTCTCAGTTTCCTAAATGCCATAAATATGTACAACTTACTATTAAAAAACGAAACTATTTCAAACTTGAATGAGTTGCTCGTAAGCTGTAGCTGTTGTTCTTGTTGTTGCTGTTATGTATGTTACTTTGGCTCTTGCTGCTGCTGACGACAGTTGCATTAACTGTTTGCAGTCAGGATTTGGCATACCCATGACCCAGACCGCCCATGCCCACGCCCCCAATAGACCGCCCCTGGCACGCTGAAGCCATGTCGAGACAATGTGCAAAATGTTTACACTGCACTTGGACGGCAGCTTGTTGTACTGTCACCGAAGTTGTTAACTGTCGGCCCGGCATTAATATTTCAATTTCGTAGCCCTTTACTTAAAACAGAGAGTCGAAGAGACAGACAGCGGGAGCGAGGCATAGAGTCTGATGTGCGTCTGTTGCTGGTGGCTGCCAACTGTAGCTGCAATCAAGGCATCAATGTCAACAAAACACTTGATGCCAAAAATGAAGTTGCAAGCTGTAAGCTGCATGCCGCATACATACATATATATATACATGCAGTCTGACGTTCCTGCCACGACAAAATTCATTTTACGTTTTTGGTGCACGCTGCAAAAACTTGACAAGCTCCGCTTAACTTTTCGCTCAAGTTTCATCGCATCGGCTGGCGGTGTGTGTGTGTGTGTGTGCGTGTGCGTGTGCGTGTGTATGTGTGCGTGTCTGACTGAGAGTGCGTGTGTTTTGGTTTTGTTAAGCGCCGCGGTTTTGTTTGCTTTTCCAAAAGTCTGCGCTAATGTTGTTTTTGTTGATTTTGCTCTTCCGTCCTGCGGCATCTATTATTTTTCTTTTTGCTGGCACTTTGTCGGCGCTTATGGTTTAAGCAGAAGGCATTAGTCATGCAAATTATGACGCAAAAAAAAAAACGATGAATAAGACATTCTATCGCGCAACACCTAAGTAGCTTTAGAGCCGTTTACAAACTAACACGAGAAACTGCCCCAAATATAACATATTGTACACTTAGGCTTCAATAAAATACATATTTTATACCAGAATAAATACGTTTCAAACGAGACAATTCAAAAGCCGATTAAGATTTTTTGAAGTGTTAAAAATGTCTATATCTCGGGTATATTAAGCCCGGTTTTGGAGTGTAATATTTTCATTGACTTATGCGGATGTACCCTAACATTGGGCATTACAAAAATTAAATTTAAAATCTAAAACATATTTGACAAGGGGTCACAATTTTGCTAAATTCGAGTCTGAAATCAATTCTATGTAGCTCCACGAGTCCGAAATGCCCAATCATTCCAGGATCGGACGTCAACAAGGCGACATTTAAAGTTTTTGTAAAATGTTAAAATGTTAAGGTTTGATTATCGATCGATTTAGCTCTTAAAACTCGTACGGATCATGACTATCAAAGCATTCAATTCTAAATTACAAATAGAAAATCAAAAGTTGCATTCAAATCGAAAATCGTTCACAGCATTAGCATTATGTTATAGAAAAATATTGAGCACACTTACTCTTCAAAATGTCCAACATTTTCAGTGCAAATAAAAAGAAAATTTGCATACTTTTGCATGTACAGTTTTTATATTTTTTTTCATCGTTTTTGTTATCATTATTTTTATTTTTTGTTGGCTTTGCTTTCGACATACTATATGTATTTTAAGGATATAAAACTTAATGCTTAAATGGATGGAATGACGTAACAGCAGTTGGTTTGCGCTTTCATATTCAGTTTTAATCAAAGCTCGCAAGAGTCCAAGAAAAAATAAACATTTAAGCAACTAAAATTAAAAACAATCGCGAAAATTAAAACAGTTGCTACACAAAATTATACGATTAAATAAGAATTATAATAGGATTCAAAAAAAAAAAAAAAAAAAAGAAATGTCGTTTGCTAGCAGATGCGAATGTAACTTAATTGTAAATAATTTTGGAATAATAAATTTAACATATCTCTTTATTTTATTTATATTTATCATTAGATCAGTCAGTGAGTGCGCGTGCAAAGAAATTTGACAGCACTGTCGAACAAATATATTTATAAAAAAATATATGTATATCTGTTATATTAAAAAGTTCTCAATAATGTGTATAATTAGGTAGCCCTGAACTACAAATATAAATATGCGCAGAAACTAGCTATAAAATATATTTAAAAAAAAAAGTAAGTAATTATTTTTGTTGAGTGTCCTTTTCTTTTCGAGTTGCAAATTTGTATTTGGCGCAGCTTCTTCAGGCCAGGCAAAAGAGCTTCTTCCAGAACGAGGGTGTGGGCGGCAACGTGGTGGGCACCAAACCCTCCCAAATGGCTGTATCAAACACGTCTTTGACTTTATCCTGGTTTAAGTAAAGACAAAGAAAAATATGAATTCATTTAAGTAAATTAGATAAGCATTTAACGGATTTTTTAATAGTAGGTATTTTCAGGGATTTTGCTGCGAAGAAGACCACATTCGCAAGCGCATCCACGCAGAGGAAATAAAAGCTACAATTAACCAAATTATATTCCGTTCGAATATTTTTGTTCGCCCACTTTCAATGTGGTCGCAAAGGTATAAAAACTAACATAAATTTCATATGCATTTTATATTGGAGCGAACCAAGTATTTATTGATTTTATAACCAACTTTGTGCCAGGCCCGTTTTGTGGGCTATATAGGGTACACACAACGGGATGACTGCTCCTCGCGAAGCCAGAGTCGTCAGCATTAGCGCCTCCTTTGGCTGCCACGAGTGCAATGCACGGCTGACAAAAATATATATATATATATATATATATATGTATAAAAAAAAGAAAGGTGGCTTTGCTTCGCACTTAGCACACGGTGGAAGTGTTGGCAATCTGGCAACGGCGGAACATTGCCAGCATTGCCAAGCAGTTGGTTTAACGTTAACAGTTACCAGCCCGAAAACCGCACAATTATGATTATTGTGTGTGCGAGTGTGTGTGTGTGTGTGTGTATAAGTGTGCATGCTTGTTGGCTGAGAAGAGCACCGTGTGGCATATTGCCTCAAAGGCAAACGTCTCCCAAGCGTCAGCATTCTGCAGAAATTTTTTCCTTTTTAAGTGTTTGCATACAGACAGCGACAGCCCAAAGGATTTGCTGAATATGACTTGTTGTTGTTGTTTTGTCAGTGTTGTTGTTGTTGTTGTTAGTGTTGTTGTTGCTGCTGCTGGTGCAATGACTTTGTGGGGCAGTCGCCGTCTGCCGCTGCTTTAATTAATATGATGGCGGGCCCAAGTGTCGGGCCAACATCTGAACATCCAACAGGGCAACCGGAACTCACCTGTGTGGCTGAGGAAGTCTCAATGTATTTGGCGCCAATTGTTGTTGCCAAATCCCAGGCGTCTGCATATGAAATTGGTTTCTCGCCATTTGTCTGCTCATCCATGGGTAACGCAGCACGCCCGAAGCACATATGAAATCAAATAAGAATATCATAAATATTTCAACAAATTTGCTGTAGCCACACACGCACACAAATGAATGAAGTCTAGCATGAACTCAGGCGCACAAATAAACCAAATAAGCGCCCTCCCCAAAAAGAATAATAAAACTCACCTGCAATTTGTTCAACACGTTCAAATTGCTCCTCAAGTCAGCTTGGGTCCCAACCAATATGAGGGCCGCCTTTGTTTTGGCAAATTTGGGCGCCCATTTCGATTTGATGGCCCCAAATGTTTCGGGCTTGACCACCGAGAAGCACAGCAGAAAGACGTCGCTGTCCGGATAGCACAGTTCCCTTAAAGGATCCAACGTATCCTGGCCGGCGGTATCACAGAGTGTCAAATGGACTGGACTCTCGTTCACATTGACTTCGGCTGTAAATAAATTAAGCGCAAAAATATGAATAAGGAAAAATAAATGCAGATTAAAGTCCTTTCAAATTAAATGCAGTTCAATTTCAAATTATTTTATACTCTGTTCACAAGCTAAAAAAGGAGTATATTGATCTTGTGCTACGGTTGCAGCTAGGTATGCAAATAATTGTAGTCCAAGCCAACAAGTTGCCACAAATTGGAAAATCGAAATGTTCTCAATGCACCGTTTGAGAGTCAATGCCATGCGGTTACAGTTTGAGAGTCACCAATCGAATACAAAATAACTTTTCGGTTATTGTAAATAGAGAAAATTCAAGCAAGCATATTTTAGTCTGATGCAAAATCATTTTAAATCATTCAAAATATGTCTTTTTGATTATTAAATTAGCGACTCTAAAACTGTAACCATAAGTAACAGTGACTTTTAAACTGAATTAAGAAAATGCAATATTTTAAGCACGATCTATAAAAAAGGTCATGAATAGTCAGTCTAACTAATCTAAGGATTTTCCTGGTTTTCTTGCCCCCTCTCAGTTTTTTAACACTTTGTCTTGTCTTACACTAACAGATCTTTCAGACAGGCGACAATTGTTCACACTTGGTGAGCCGAGCATAGAAAAGTACATATATGGAAATTGTCGCCCAAGTCAAGCTCAGTTGGCAATTTAATTCTAGTCTTTGCACGAGCGCTGATTGTTCAATATTTAAATGCCACCCAATTCAGACCATTAACACAAGTGCAGGTATTTTTGATTGAATTCCAGTTGGAATTTAATTTAAAACGCTGCCCAATCCACGACTCGCTTCACGCAAGTGCACATTTTTGGCATAGCATACTTCTCAGCGCAGACTGCCAAACAGCTACACACACACACACACACACACACACACACGCGCGCCCTTTGACCCACACTAAGCCACTCAGGGCCAACTATGCGAGGCATTTGCCGAAGCATTATGCTGCACTTGCCTTTAGATAGACCTGCTGCCAAAACCTTTGGCTAACATATTCGGACCGCATCCCATACAACGTAACGGAGAATGCTGATCAACTGTTGAAGACCCTAAAATTGATGTTAACCTTTACACACACACATATACGCACAGAAACAGTTAATATGGTCCGCAATCCTTGGTAACTTGCTGCAGGCCCAACATCCATGTTTGGATCTTTGATTAATGGTTAAAACCTTGGTGAATTAGGGTTTTCACCTCTATGAACACTTGCTTTGTCATATTTGTTCAGATTTAATTGGAATAATACAAATTATTAAACTGCATATATATATTATAGATGGAGAGCAAAACTTTTGAATCTATTTAAAATAAATGTTTTATTTCCAAACATATGATCTATAAAAAGGTCAAGCGATAAAAATGGTTAAGCTTAAAGTCCAGTACATAGTAAATAAAAAAAGGGGAATTTCTGGCTCTAGTTTGCAACCTTACTTCAGGTCCCCACATATTGTACAGTTAGATATTTCAAAATACAAATATGTGTATGTGTATGTGTGAATATATAAATTAAACTATAACGAATTTGTTACCGGTATAAGTCAGTGAAATCAAACGTGCAAGTCTTTAGGCTTTTCTTGATACTATGAGAATCACATAGAAAGGCGATATATAAAAGGTAGGTAAAACGTAAAAATATAAAGGTGAAGACAGCGAGTAAGAGAAAGTCAAATGCTCATCAATTATGACAGAAAGCTAGCTTTTGTATCATAAATATACAAATTATATCAATGTTAATCGATGATTAAATAAATTTCCTTAAAGTAAAATAGTAAAGGAGCGAAAAGGCATTTGTCAGCCTTTTTCATGTTTGCGCAACTAATCATACCCATTTTTACACACATTTATTGGCTATAGGGTATCCATAAGTAAATTTTAATAAAATGCAAAAGAAACTGAAAGAATTTGGCCATTGCCGCTAGGAAATAAAATATTTTAGAGTCGCAATTGAACAAACTGAAAGTATTTTGCCATTGCCGCTAGGAAATGAAATATTTTAGAGCGGCAATTGAAATTAAGCAACAATTCATTTTTTAATTGTACTACCAAAACATGCGTGTTTTTCTTCTCTCTAACATGTTCTGGAGTATCTGTATATTTGTATTTGAAGAGAAAACGATTATGTTAGCATCTGTGTAGCTGCGGTTGTTCACAGGCTGTGGCAAAATCTTAAAACTGGTAGCATGTTGAGCGGCTTTTGAGATGTGAAGTGAGGTTTGGGTACATAAGCGGTTTGATGGGATTCAGCCTTAGATGTAACGAAATTACACTATGCTGTTGGCCCTTGAACATGCTACATGCTGTACATTGTCGGCTTGGCACTTCATTTATGTCCAATCGTAGCTGTAAGTAAGCAAGTTTCTGCTAGGCAGGGCTTCAAACTAAAAGAAAATCAATTCCCTAATTGTGAGTTTGACTAAGAATCTTAGAAACCATTAAGCTTGCTTGTAAAGTAGCCGATTTCTCGGAATATATGTAATTTCCATGCTATAAGGCTATTAGCTAGAGTGGTCCGTGCTGGCATAGTTTTATGCATATTTGCCTGCCACTTCTGCACTTGTGGCAAATGCAAATCAAATATGAGCGGGTGCGGATCGGCAGGTGGGGCACAGGAAGCGTCAGTTGCGATGTCATTAAGCTGTGCACTCAAAAGTATGCAACATATTTCACGCGAATCCATTTTTTAATTGCCACGTAGGCGTCTGTGTGTGTGTGTGTGTGTGTGTGTGTGTATGTGTGTGTGTATGTGTGTGTGTATGTGTATGTGTGTGTGTGTGTGTGTGTGCATGTGTGTGTTCGCGCTCTACTTGCAGCTGAAACAATGATGATGAGCCGGTGGCAACTGAATTAGCAGCACCCGGTCACGCCCCCCAAAGCAATTTGAGTTTCATATTACACGCTACTGTGTGTGTGAGTGTGTGTGTTTTTGGTGTGTGTTTAACGTGTAAGCATTGCATTCATATTTAAAATGCGTGCAAAATGATTTAAATTACCAGAGAAGCTGCCTTTAAGCCGAGAGGGAGAAAGACAGAGAGAAAGAGAGAGGGGGGGAGAGTCAGAGAGAACAAAGAGAAAGAGAACGGGCCTGGGTTTGTTTCTCATGTGCCGTCGAGCGTGTTTGACCTCTCGTCTTTGCCGAGCCGCAGCCCTAACCACTCCGCCGACTAGAATGCCAGTGTGTTACCACTAGCTGTGGCTCGCATGTGCTAGTGTGTGTATGTGTGTGTGCCCTATCTAAAAGTTAATCATGACTGCCTTTCAATGCAGTTGCTGCCGCTGCTGATGTTTACGCAACGTAAATAAAGTTGCTGCTCCCAGTTTTTAATCAGCAGGTCGCCGAAGGTCGCCCTCGTGGCTCATGTTAAATAAATTTTATTCTTGTAGCGCATAAATTTCATGAATGCATTTGCAACGATGCCAACCGCTCCAACCACTTGACGTCCCAGTCCCCAGCAAGCTGACGCTAAGCTCCTGAATCAGGATGGGGCATCGTGTGTTGAGCCAAAGAAAAAGTGTACTCTTAAGGCAGCCTGCAGCTTTTCTCGTTTCTTTTGTGTTTCGACTGCGCGATACCCTGTATTGAAATGTGCAACAATTTATCAATACAGTGCAGCAAAGCGCGAGGTAATGTTCAAAATGCAGATTTTCGCTTTGCAGGTGTTTCAATTAAACAATACATAGTATCTATGGATAAGGCAAAGAAAAATATCATATATGCAATTAAAATAAATTTACAATTATTTAAAAAACCAATTTGTTAGCATGTAGTTACAAACTAGTCGGTCAAATGTTTCTCAGCGTTCTAGATAAAAGTATACATATAACTTGTTCATTTTCTTGCACTTTTGACTTGCTCTTCATTGCTTTTCGTCTACTATATAGTATTTTTAGTTCTGTAAATATACCATACGATTTCCATAAGTACAGGGTATATCCAGGTAAAATGCTGCACAATACACATAAAAGGATCAAGGACAAAAGGTTTTTATTTTGAACGCCTTTGACTGGTCTCGTCCAAACTTGACTGGGTACGTCCTGGCCGGCATTTTCTTTGCATCCATCAATTGTTCGCATTGGCTTTTGCGTTATGCAGCTCATCTGCATACAGACCGCCTGGCGTGCTGGTTCTTGATTGAAATCGGCAATGCAATTCTGGCAGGCTTTCTTAAAGTAATGGTCAGCCTGCTATGTACTTTAATTTCGATTTCCATATTTCTGTTATTTCATTTCGTCTGTGCCAATTTGTATATAGCATATATTTTGGGCCATAATTTCGGGTCTTTTATGTCTCATCTCGGTGGCTTATTAATCGATTATCGATTTCGGTGTGCGCATAAAAGTGTACCGCATAAAGGCAAAATACGACCAAATAAAACTTGACTTCACGCATTTAACGACACTACGACAAAAGCGCCATCCAGCGGCCAAATGGCGCATAACAAAAGAAGACAAAGCCTTGTTGCGGATGTCTAAGCCTGCTTTGTCTCTGTGTGAGGGAGTGTGTGTCGGTGTGTGTCTATGGGTGTGTGTAAATGTGTGCGCCACACAATTGTGCAATTGTTACTTGTCGGCGGCTATTGAAAACCAGTCAAACGCTTGGCTGGCTTATTGAAACCTAATTGAGTCAGTCATTCTCACTTACTCACTCATTCAGTTTGTCAATTACTCAATGTAAGCTAAGTTAACAAGCGCTCGTAAGCGTATGAAAGACTTTTACCCTGTAACTATATTCTATGCGCATTTCTTGATAAGCATTAATAAACAAGGACAAATAGCCATAGGTTACGTTTCTATTTCGAAGCTCTGAACTTAATGAAACTTGGCATTCTTCCATAAAATCCAAGTTATTCAATACAATCAATACTTCTTATAAGAATATAATAATTGAGAATCGCATAGAAACGCGACAGAGGCAGAAAGAAAGAAAAAGAAAGAGAGAGAGAGAGAGAGAGAGAGAGAGAGAGAGAGAGAGAGAGAGAGAGAGAGAGGAGGAGAGAGAGAGAGAGAGAGAGAGAGAGAGGGAGGGAGGGAGGTAGAGAGAGAGAGGGAGGGAGGGAGGTAGAGAGAGAGAAGGAGAGAGAGGGAGAGAGAGGGAGAGAGAGGGAGAGAGAGAGAGAGAGAGAGAGAGAGAGAGAGAGAGAGAGAGATAGAGAGAGTTAGTTTTATTGAGAGAGAGTTAATTTTATTGAGAGAGAGAGTTAGTTTTATTTCTAAACCACAACTATTAAAATAATAATATTATTATTTGCTGATGATATATTGAAATTAAGAATCGCATAGAAAGGCGATGTTAAAAATAAGTAAGGCAAATTTTCTAGATGAGTATCAACAGCCGCGTCGATATACCCATCTGTATATTCGATCGTCTGTCTGTTTCGATGCGGTTTCTCAGCCTTGAAGTAATTTAGATGAAACTTGACATTTCACAGGCTAATTATATCGGATAACCGACATGGGTATTGTCGTCTAGGCTATTAATGTCTCAACACACCAATAAACAAATTTTTTTTTCATAGTAATGGTATTCTTATTCATCCTGTACGTAACCCTGTTAACAAGAAGACAAGTTTTAAAATAGCCATTTAGAGATGCACTTAATTAAAGTAATGACATTTGATGGATGTTGGAGCTGCCTCTTCTGCGACGTCGAGTCTTGTGTTCACGAACTTTTAGACGCTCTCTCTTTCTACCATTCTTTCTGGAGGGGTGGCACTTGATAATTAGTTGAACTATGCGCAAAAGTTATATTGGATGAAACTATGCAAAGCCCCTTGCAAATATGCAAATCACACCGACATAAGCACACACACGCGCGCACACAGCGAGCCTTACTAAACACACACAGGTGCACATTAGATGCTCAAGTTAGATTCCCGTCATGAATTTCCTAGTGTTTGTGCACCTGAGTGCGCGAAATTATGCCATAGCTGCATTAGAGGAGAGCCTGTTATGCTTGGCATTCGGCGAATAGCGCACACGGCGTATGCGTAATAAGCGAAGAATCACCATAGAAGCAGAAGTGGCGGCGCATCAGAAAGGCGGCTCATCTCCATGTAGTATGCGAACGGCATTTCAGATTAGTAAATATTGAAAAAGAGAACGATAAGAAATGAAAAGCGTTAGCAAATTATTTTCTTTTCCAGTAAATTACGTTGCAAATGACACTTCAAGGAGATATTAAAAAAAAAAAAGAAGAGCTTAAACCCGACGTTTCTCATGTATAATCAGCCTATTTGGCTCACTTTTCTAGTCTGTTACTCTTACTCTTAATATTGTCACGAGATGTGTAACGCGTGGAAGAAAACGTCTCTAAGTTTATAAAGTACTTATATAAATTTATTATTGATCAGTATTTATAATGATCAGCCGATATAGTCAGGTTGGTCGTTCTATTTCTATGAAATCTAGTCTCTCGGCTTCTATCATCCCGAAACTTTAGCATAGTTCTGACTTTTTATTGCAGACGTAGATTCCGTGGGAGTCAGCCAGATCGGACAGCTGAATCGTTTAGCAGCCAAAAGTTAAGTTCCTGTATGAAGGATCTTTTTGTTCTTCAAGAACTATTGAACAAACTTCGCATTTACGAGCCATAAAAGGATCTTTATATATCGCATACTCTTTAAAACATGAATTTTTGTATGGAAAATTGGAAAATTCACTATCAGATTAGGGGACTACTATATTCATAAGCTTCAATGGTCATAAATAAAGTTTTTGCCTGGAAATGCACAACTAAGCCAAATGTCTTGAGGGAAAAATATGACTGTGCCCTTCTTTTTTGTTCACCTGGGTGGTGAAAAGCACTCACTTAATTTGTTATGAGCAAACTAAAGCTTTTATCAAATTTTGCCATAGGCGAACTCTTTTTCATTTTTGATCTGATGTTCCTTTGAATTTTGTTCAAAAAGTTCACTTGAGTATTCTCAATCCAAGGTTGCTTGACAAAAACCATTTATTGCAGTCTTTTAAAGGTAAGAATATTTTGAATGAAGATTAGTTATAGCTAATGAGTAGAGAAACTTTCAGGCAGCAGTAGAGCTCGATTGTAAAGTATATGCATTGCAAAGCAGATCTGAAGGGTGAACATATTTTTTGGAATCAGGGCATTGCGGCATAAAATAAGTGCACATTCATGCAAAATTTATTAGAGTCGGGCAGACATCAAGTGGCAGCCTCGAGTGGCGCATTGCCTCAATGTGTATGGGTGTATGTATGGGTGTGAGCGTGTGTATGTGTGTGTGTGTGTGGGGGGCACAACATAATTCAATCACTTGCAATGCAAGTGCCTACTAGTTGAGACCTAAAAGGCTAGAAAAGATGGCGGCCACAAAAGGCAAAGGCGACTGCCTTTTTTATGGCCCCACCAAAGCGTTGCGCTGGCTGTTGTTGTTATTGCTGCCGCTCCCGCTGCTGCTGCTGCTGCTGCTGCTGCTGCTACTGCGGTGCCTGCTGCTGCTGCTACTGCTGTTGTTGCTGCTGTTCTGAATAACCGCAAATTTCAATTTTCCGTTCATTAAAATTCGTGAATAGCACACAAGCACAGCCCAATACACACACCCACGCACACTACAACACACGCTCACACACATATGGCATGAGAGCGCGCAAATGCGGAAGCAGTGAAAGTCAAATGAAGCTGCCTTCCTGCCAGGGCTCTGTGAACCGGAATGGGGTCGGCAAGTGAGAAAGGAGAAGGATTTCAAACGGCAGCCTGCAGGCAGTTGAACATCATTTTCGCCTACTTCCGTCAGCTGAGACTGGCCCACAGTCGAATGCCGAGCGTGCCGCATCCTTCACACGGAAACTCAGTAAAGATTTCACAAATTGGTTTTCAACAAAATGAAAAATTCATATACGTGGCAGCCAGGCAGCCAGCCAAGCGGGCAGCCCAGGAAGGCAGGCAGGCAGAAAAACAGTCGAAGGTCGTGTTGGGTGGAAGTTATTTGCTTGCTTGCTTGCTTGCTTGCTTACTTATGTATGTGTGTGTGTGTGTGTCTTTGTGTGTGTGTGTGTGTGCGTGAGTGTGTGCGTGTGTGTGTGCGTGTGTGTGTGCGTGTGTGTGTGCGTGAGTGTGTGCGTGTGTGAACAACGAAAAATGCCGTTAAGTAAACCTGTTGAAAAGCGCAGTCGAGTAAGGCGGCAGGCAATCAACATTTTCACAATTTTCACGGGTCTCAACTTACCGTTATAAATATCTGATGCCGTCGGCACATGCTCCGGATTGAATCGATTCTCCAGATATGACAAGATCAAATTGGTTTTGCCAACAGCGCCATCGCCAACCAGAACGCATTTTATGGACGGCTGTGTGCCACGTTTAGCTACATAAATAGGGCAAAGCAGTTAAGAGAGAGAGAGAGAGAGAGGGATGGAGAGGGGGGGGGGGGAGAGAATAAAAGATTAGTTGCTTGCAAATTGTAATTAATTAAAAACAAAGTACAACAGCCTGCTGAATAAATAAAATAAAACAAACTACAAATGATGGCAATTTACAAACTTTGCGCCATTTGCACTTGGCGCCATTTTGAATTGTTGCCATTTGCAATTGCGGCCATTGTTTGCCTTTATTTTATTCATTGTCCTACCTTTGTGCTCGCCATTCGCGGCGGCTGCAACTGCAACTGCAGCTGCGACGCCGCCTCCACCTCCTCCTGCTGTTATTGTACTTTCCGTTGTCTTCTTCGATTTGCGTTTTCGCAATAAAAACTTTGCACCTTTGCCGCTGTCCGCACTCGTATCGCTCAGCGATTGTTGCTGCAAAATAAGAGCAAACATTTTTTAATTGTTGCATTTTGCACAGCTGATAAACAAATAATGCATTGGCCGGTCAGCTGCCCCACTAGCCCCGGCACAGTGCTGCAACAAGGGGCCATTCATTCGATTATACATATTTGTTCCATTCATCGCCGGCAACTTTTTGCAATCGGCCCAATTACCGCCGTAACTAACTGCGTGGAGATTTCGCAGCCTTTAAGGTATTAGTTATTATTTATTTGCTGGTCATTTTTTAATGTTACATATCATGATTCCGAAATTCGTTACAAGCCTAATACAAACTATTTATATTTTTCTTATTTACGGCTTTAAACAGGTCAAACCGGCTCAAGCCCTAAATTTCATTTTGGGGTTAATCAATGAATCGAATCGAATCGCAACTTGAACCGTAGCATGTTTTTCTTTTGAGAAAGACTCAAATGCCAATTTGTAGAGATCAAATATAGATCGCAAAATATATATGAAAATATGCACGGTTTGCCATACTGTCAATAGAACGGGCAATATTATACAAAGCAAAATTGTTTTATCTAAATTTTTTCGTAAGTTACGTTGTGAAAATAAAGGATTGTGATCATGGATATAGATATCCTTTTGTTATGGTTGTTATTAGAATAAACAATTACGCAATCGATTGCGTAGCGTAGTGGACTATGCGTCAGCACACTGAGCACAAAGTTTGTAATTCAAAGCCAAAGTGAAGACGGAAGACAGAAAATTAACAAATTGACTGCCTTAACGTAAAGAAGTTTGAACAGAAATATATCTATATATAGCATAGATCCTTCGATTAACATCATGTTTTCGCTTTTTCAAAACAACATTAACTTGTTATATACTGCATATATTTGATTTGCGTTTAGCTAATTACCAAAATTGTGCAAAGATTTGTTTTGGTGCTGGGCAACGCAAATTCAATTCAGTTTAGAAGCGTGCCAAATGACATTGCGCATACGCCGTGTGAGACACAGGAAGCAACCGCTTGAGACTGTCAATTAAATAATAAAAGCCATCAGATTGAAACGTCTCCGTGTGTATGACTGTGTGTGTGTGTGTGTGTGTGTGGCTTAGGGTGTGAACTAATTCCAAGCGCGACACTTTACGCCGCTCGGGCTAATTTAATATGCACATATAAATTAGTCAAGACGACAGACGACGGCAGTCCGCCGCAAGGCAATGCAAAAATCTTGCCGACAACAGCAGCAAGTACCACAGCAACAACGACAACAACAACAACAGGATGAAGAAAAACAACAACAACTATTTGAAGCGTGAACATGGTGAAACAGTTGACGCATTGCGTATACGACACCAAGTCACGTCATATACAACCCGAACTGAACCTAACTCGTCAGACAATTGTAAAACTTTTGTCTCATCTGGGCGGCTAATTGGTTTAGCAGCTTTGTGCGACCAGCAGCAGCAGCAGCGGCGGCGGCGGCGGCAGCAGCGGCAGTCAACACGCCCTCGACATCAACTGCTGTCTGGCCGTAGCTATAAAGAATTAATTAAAATTCACTCTTTTTTTTTCAGTTTTCGCAACGCGACGCTTGCGTGTAAATAAATAAATGCGAAAATTGCTTTGTTGAGTGGAATTTTGCAATATTTTGATTTATGCGCTGTGCGCTTTCTTGCAATTTACAATTTTTGCACTTTTAAGTCGCCCTTTATAAACAACACGAACGTTTTATAAATTAATGAATGCTGCTAAATGTTCAACAATCGGCACTCGAATTAATTATTGAAATCAAATTGCTGAACAGCAAAAAAAAAAAGAGGAAAAAAAGGCGAACTTTATTTAATTAAATTTCATTTAATTGAATTAAGTCGCTTTATTGATGACCAGCCGATTTTAATTTATGTGCGCCACATAAACCAAATAAGCGGCAAATACAATATGAAGCTTCAAGAAAAAATGTTAAATTGAAACAAGCAAAAAAACGTAAATGAAATATTGCAAATATTTATTGAAAACCTATGGTTTTTTAAAAGAGCCTGTGCATTCGTGCGTATATTGCGATTTAATACAAGTATAATGAATATTCAACTCTTAAACAGATAACTAGCAGAAAAAGTCAAGCTGCCGTCCTTGTTCTCTCCCCGACAATGGCCCGAAGGCCTACATGAAGTTAACATACAACATTTCCCCATTATTAATAAACAATAATGAATAATTATGTTGACACTCGTTCGACCATTATTAATATATATAAAATAATATAATAAATAATAATGCAAAATAAAATAATAATCAATTATATGAAAAACACACACGCATATATTATCTGTATCTTTTATCATGTGTCTTTTAATCAGTATATCATGGATTCAGCACAGCATGCTTTTATTGCAATAATAATGCAATTAAAATTTAATTGAGTTTCTGGCAAAGTTAGTTTGACAAGCTAATTACTATGAATTATATATCGAATCGCACCTAAATGTAAGCCAACACTAACTATTTCTATACAAGTGACAACTTAAATTAGATTTTAAATCGTGTTGACACCTAAATCAATATTTTGTTAAAAACTAATTACTGATCATGGGTTTTTATTTGTAATGAGTTTCTCATACAGATCTTAATAGAAAGACTTTTAATAAGCGAATTAAAACTCGAAAAAAACTTGCATTGAACACTTTACAATATAGTAAATGGAATTTCCCATAACTTGGCATCTTCTGGCATTAGAGAAACTACTGGACTTGAGCATCAAGTCCTATTGGTTTAGATGGTAAAGTGGAAAAGACCTTCGGTTGGCAAGAGACAAACTTAAAAGCACAATACGCTTGTAATTTATTGAGATAAGGCTAATTAGACATTTTGTACAGCATGTGTTGCAATCGAGGCCCAATTAATGAACGCCACTTTAAAGCTAATGATTAAATGAAATGGATGTCAAATCAATCATTTCACAATTGCCAATTACGTTACTTCTGTCCACCGCCATTAGGCGGTCTGGCCATGTCGACAAGGACACGAAAATGTACGAGTACACGCACAGATATGTACCAGGAAAATCTAAACCCACCCCCCACCCCCCACCGTCGACGACTATGCTCGTTTCCTGCTCTAGCAGCAGCGGCAGTAAATATACTCGTAACTACACAAGTATTAACAGCGCTATCTAAATCAATATCTAAATTGCTGTGCGTCTGTGAGTCTTGTTTTGGGAGGCTGTCTGCCTGTTGAAAGGCTGTTGCCACTCGCTCGCAAGTTGACGGCATTTTCCGCTTGTTAGGCGATAATATCACAAGCCACTGCCAAACGAAATAGCTAAGAAAGTTGGCCCTTAAGTAGAAGTGAAGTGGCCATTAAGCTTTAAGATGCTCCAAACTTGTACAAAATTGATCAAAAATGGCAAGTGGCTTATATTGAGAAACTTAAAGATTTTTTTACAAGCTTGTTTCGCAGGTCGCCGTTTCAAATTCAGCAACAATTTTCCATTTTTTGCTTGTTTATTTAATTTGTTATTATGCACAAGGAACAAACATAAATTTAAATGCCATGTTTATGCCTTTAACATAAACATAAATTAAAAAACAACAAATATGTTCGGAGTCACGAGTTATCTCCTAGCCGGCCTCTATCTAAAGCCGCCTCTGCCCATTAAATTGAGTGCAAAGAGGCTATAATGGTAATATGCAAGTTTTCACAGTAAGCAGATGAAAGCATAGCTCTATTCAATTTCATTCGACAAGCTCAGTCTGAATTAAGAAGCTAGAGACTTGAAACTTGAAACATATATACTCTTCTACATCATACAATAACTATATTTGTCTAAAGTTTGCAAATATTGAAAATCGCTCAAGCCACCACATTTGGAATGTAGGTGCTCGTATAAGAATATTTCCCCTTTTCTCTTCACCCCTTGTGCTTTGTCATGTCGCCTGTCCCCATACTTGTTGGCCATATGTAAGCTTTAAAATTTGCACAAAGATGCGACTACAAACACCTTTTGTTGTCATATAAACACAAATATGTTTACATATGTAAGTGTGTACACACTTTAATATTGGGTCACGTAATTAAACAATTCCAATTAGAAGGCTTATTTTCGACAAATGCTGTTATTTTGCGGGCTGCAATCATAATTGTTGTTACCAATATTGGTCATGTTGTTGCTATTGTGCCATGTAGTTGTTGTTGTTGTTGTTTTTGTCGTTGTTGCGTGCTTCGCAACGTTGTCGGTAACCTCATTCGCAACAGCAGAAACGAAATTGTAGTCTATTAAATGGCATGCCACTTATTGCATCATAGAGTTACAGTAAGTGAACTGTGCCGGGGCGGCGTTGCGGACAGACATTGGGGATAGTGTAGCAAAGAGACAGTTTCTGCTGCAGCAGCAACAAATGTTGAGCATACAAAAATTGCCCAAAAATAAGTTTCCTTTTGCCACATTGCTGCCAAAGCCAAACAACATAAAATATGGACTGTTCAACAGAATGTTGGGGGTAACGAGTGCTGAGCGGGTCAGTTGGGTGTTATTGCTAAATGTTGGTATTATTGCAAAACAGCTGACTTCAGGTAACGCATGTGAAAAACCAAAATTGTTTTGCAAGCAAAGCCCAAAACAAACCCTAACCCACAACACACCACACACACAGCCGCACAATACATTGACATTAAAACCAAATATGTATTTTTCTTGTGCCTGATAATAATTTGTATTTCTAGTTGCTATTGCTATTGTGGTCAAATAAACCGCAGATGAAAACAGAAAAAAAAAACACGAAATTTATATGTGTGCCGAAATTTTAATACTCTGACACATTTGACATCTACGATATATTTCTCACAATATCGTATTTCCAACCGATTGCTGCTATTAGAGCGCCATATAATATAGTAGATCGTTTTGATACGGCTTTGTGGCTATACAAAGCAAATTGTAAAGGTCGTAACTGTTGATCAAGATATATTGTAATTCAAAACATGCCTAGTTTATTCGAGATATTCTCGAAAACTACAAAGTTTT